TTGAGACGTTATTCATCACTTTGCCCAAAAATGCTTTTTTTTTTCCTCTCACTTTGATGACTATTAAAGCAAATAAGGTGATTTCATGTAGTCAAGAATCAGGACATACTAGAAAAAAATATCTTTTTGAGTGTATTCATATGGGGAAAATGAGTGACTTTTCAAATTTAAATTGTGTTTGCTTTTGAGGGTAAAGATAGGATTTGTACAAAATTTACTTGAGACTTCAAACGAATAGGAAGACATCTCATAGTTTAATAGTGCAAATAAAAGACTAAATTTGAATGTTGAGATCAGACATCTTTACATGGGGTTGTAAGAAGTGTTAGGGAAATGTGAAAATACTTTCAATTTGGCTTAGCTTTGAAAGTAACTTCTTAATCTGCTAGCATGAGTTAAGCACTTGTGGGACAGCTTTATGCCTCCTACTCAGAGCTGTCAGGGACAGCTCACCTGTACCTGTCACCTCCACTTGTCCACTTGTCCCTATGTTTCCTGTGTGTAGTGCCGGCAGACAATAGAGAAGAGTTCCACTAATCTTGCATGATCCCTGTTAAAGTAATCAGCAGCTACCGTGATTTTTTGTACCTGTGGAGCACTGCTGAGACATAATAGCTCCAATAGTCAGATGTCTTTCTTAAAAATACACGTCTCAAAATTATTTTCTACTGACATGATGTTCTTTAAGAACTTCACATCAGATCTCAATATTTGTTATCCAAAAGTTGACAGCATTCTGTAAAATATGTGGTAAAAAGCAACAGGAGGAGAGAAACATTTTTTTTTTTTTTTTAAATACTGGATAATTTATTTCTGGTAGACAATTTTCTGTACTATCAGAGTATTCAGCATTTATAGAGTGATTGCAGAAGAAGCACAGGCTTTGTGTAGCTTTGGACTAGTGCTCCATATGAGCACTACAACACAACATCCTCAGAAGGCTGTCTACATGTGGCTTTGTCCACGTGGCTTGAAGGTTGCTTTAAGAAACTATTGTGCCATGACTAGTGCAGAAAGACCTGACACTTTCCAATAGCAAGCACTGTGAAAGTGATAAAACCAACTTAAGTTATGTTTCTTTCCATTATTAAGATTTTTTTTTAGTTTTGTCCCTCTGTAGGAAGAGCTCAGGTACCTTTTCTTGGTTACATCATACCTCATGGTGTAAGGATCACTTGGGTTATTTTTCTCAGTCTTCCCATCATTTCATTCTGTGTGTCTAAGTAACTTAATCTATTTCTGTCTTTTACTTTGGTTCCTGATGTGCAAACTCGAGATAGTAGAAATTCATGATATCTTCAAGTTCTTGTGAGGTAGACTTCATTGCTGTGGTGACATGATATGGTAACAAGTGCTGTAGGAATGCCTGCATTTTGTATGGCTGTGATGCATTTGTAGCATTTCTCTATTCACCATTGTACAATTTAATGATGATATTTTTCTACTCCTTCTACTGTAATATGTATCACAAATCTGTCTGGAAGTAGACATAATCTTTTCCTATGTCATTTGTAGTGAGAATCCTTCTCCATCCTTGTGGTGAAAGGATACTTCAAGAGTTGAAATGTGGGCAGGGATGAGCTCTGTCTCTGTCCCATGTCTTCAGACATGCCCATTCTTGAGGGTCTCCTTTGAATGCCAGTGCAGCTTAACTTTTTAATATGTTTCAACAGAGATTCCAATGCTTTCTGGCATTTAGTCTCTGTTTTCAAGTTGTAGTTATCAAGGTGGTAAAGATTTTTAAAACCTACAGTAAATGTCACAAAATATTTATTTTTGCAAAAAGAAGCTCTTGTTTCTCTCTATTCCATCATACAGTGAGATTTTTTTAGCCCCTCTTCTAGGACTCATAGAATATTTATAGCCTTGAAAATACAAGTACCATTTGGGGGTCTTTTGATATTCTTTTGCCTATCCGTCTGTAAATAGTTTGCTATCGTGTGATTGTACATGTAAATAGGTAGCATCCAATGTTGTGTATTTATAATCAAATTCAGAAATCAAAATGACAATAATTTTATTTTAAATATGAAAGAATTATTTTAAGTGTGTTCATAGGAAACTTAATCCATATCCATATGTATGTGTTTGCAGGAAATAAATTATGCTTTTCACAACGTAGTAGTAATTGTTAATTCATAGAAATTCTGCATTTCTGCATTACAGCTGTATGTTTTCTAACAGAAGCAGAACTATCTTTCTTATACTTGCAACTTCAAAATGTAGGTCATTGTGTTGGCAAATGTAGGTCAGAGTGAGGAGGAAGAAGACAGAATGCAAACTCCTCCACATGGATCTTTAAGCTTATCCCTGTTTTGAAGGTAAAGAGGCTTACCTACCTGTTCAGGCACGTGAAGCTTTTCCTTTCACTAAAATTAACACTGGTATCCTGGCTTGTGGCTTCTTGGCTTAGCTAGGAGCAGTGTGTGCTTCCACGCTTGGGGCTTGTTCGTGAAAGGCCTCCTGACTCCTGCTTCTTTAGCTTCCAGATGCTTATACCATTGCTGAGGTGACCCTTCCTTCCCCGTGGGGGAAGGCAGTGGGAAGGAGAGCTGTGCACGTTGCTGGCATCTGCCTAAAGAAGAGCATTGTCTTTGCAAAGGTGCTTCACCCTTCTCTCAGCACAGAGCTATCTGATACACCTGCAGTTCCAGCCAATATCAACATTGTAATGGTAGCAGGGGAAGGAATGGTGACCCCTCAGAAAAGATTCAGTGACACCATTCAAAGTGCCCTCTCAATAATAACTGCAGAAAAGTGAGAGACATTTGACTGAGGGTACAGAAAAGTCAGATGTTGAAGGATGTTTGCTACAATTGACTAGTATTTTTAAAATTCAGTCAGGCTAGAAGTTTGCTATAAAAGCATTTAAGTTTTTTATGTTTGTGGGTGTGAGGGTTTTTTTAATGTGAGATATAAATATTATAAACTGTGTTAAATTAGCTGTATCTTCACTAAATATTAAAAAAAAACTTTTATTGCTTGAGTATATACTAGTCACTGCAAACTGAAACATTCTTTATGTTACACACTAAAATATTTAAACAGTCACTATATTTATTGCAAAATCTGTCATTTTAGCATATTTCAGTGCTCAAAAGCATTGAAATGCTCAAAGGGAGATGAAAAACCCTGTACAATTCCTACTGTATTTTTCACTAAAGAATGGGTAGTCTTGTGTGTGTATTTTATTTTAACCCTTAGCAAGTCTAAGCAAAATAGCACATTCAAAAACACCTGATCAGACTGAACTGTCGTAAACAGGACAAATACAAGTATTGCATTAGTAGTTTTGTTATACATATGCATCATCAGTCTATTTTTTTCCCCTTTAAATATCTTTTTAATACAAAAGTTGTATGCAAAGTTTTGGACAAATCCTGTCTTGGCTTTTGCTTGATCTGCATGCAGTCAAGATGTTTTTAAATTTTCATTATTTCTCACTAGGAGAAAGGGTAGTTCAGAATACTTACTAGGTGGAAAGGACAAATTATACTGATGATGGTTTCAGTCAGGCTTTAAGTGATTTGAAGTATGACAGTTTTTCTCCCAAACTTCTGGTTCTGGTAAAAGTGTAGTGATGTTTTTATCCTTGAGAACAAAATATGGTAAAAATTGTCTAAAGGATACAGGTACATAGTAAGTTTCATGGAATTCAACCTACTTATCTAGAAATGTCTAAAAGATGCTCTACATGTCAAATAAGTTTACTGGAACTGTTGAAATGTCTGTAGTTCATAATATGAAGTTTGTGTCTCAATTCTTAATGTCGTGCATTGGTTGAGGGGGAAAGTCAGCTCTGGATTTTACCTGTGAACAGACACGTAAACATTGCTAAGCAACCACAGATGAAAAACACATACAACCATAATTCAGCTGCATATGCCTTTGATTCTTTGTCCTTTAACTTCGGGAACCTTTGCAGACACAACTCAAGTTCCTGAGTATGAGTCTGGTTTCCTCAGGGCCCCTCCAGCAATGAAGTCTGGTGCCTGCAGGAGAGGATTCATGGCCCTCTCTGTGGGCCACAGCATTTCAGTTGGACATTCCATTCAGGTGGGAAACTGGTTTGGCAAAAGAGCCAGTTTCTTGAAAGACTGGTTTTGAAGAAATAAATTTACATGGAAACCTCCAAGTCGTTGTCAATGTTGATGATGACCAGTGTAAGTTTATGATGGAAGGTTATGAATTAATGAATAATACAGATTAGGTGGAGAAAGTGTGGTTGCTCCTGGCTATTTCTGTAGGAGAACTAGGGGAATTCAAATGAAAATGGCAGGGAAACAAGTATTAAATAAGAGAGGAGGGGTTTCTTTATACAGCAGGGTGAAACTGTGGTGCTTCCTGATACAGCTCGGGAAAATTTACCACAGAACAACCAGAAAATCCTTTAGTGCCTGTTACCACTTGTATTTCATTTTCTCCTTCTGAATTTCTTGAGCCACAACTAGAAATCACACTTTATTGCCCTAGTCCTGGATTTGTCCTTAGCATGTGCTGCTGGTCAGTCTCCCTTACAGTTGGACTGATGCCTGACCTAACACAAACTAAGAGAAGGAGCTAAATAAAAAGAAACTGGAAAGAAATTGAGTGACTGTAGGATGATGATGATGAGGTAGCTAATGAAAAACTAGAGGGCTTCTGTCTCCTGTTGGAAACAGGCTACAAGGCAAAGTTGGCCTTTCATCTGGCCTGGTACAAACAGGTACATGTGAATGCCCGAGTGAATTAAATTTTATATGACTTTTAAGTCTTGAGTATTGCATGTATATGTGTGTGTATCTATAAATTTCTGGTCATTAGTTGTGAAGAAATCTATGAAATACTAATTTCCAATGCTTAAATCCTAGGTCTTCTTTTTATTTTTCTTTATTCCATGTTATTATGGCAAATACAGAAAATAAAACAATGGGTAGAGGTCTGCAAATGGTAATATGCATTCAAATATTTTAGACCAGAAAAAAATCTGTTCTAAGAAGGCAAATATCTTTGTTTTATAGGTCTCTGGCCATCTGAAGAAGTGCTGGCTTACTACTGCCTAAAGCATAATGAAATATTCAGGTACAGAGTTAAACATAAAAAGATATTTTCCAATCTCTTAGTTTTATTGTATCTGCATGGTAAAGATTGCTATGATTTAAGTCTTCAGATTAAATTTAAAATGTTCAAGGTGAAAGCATGTTGCTCTTAACAAAGAATTCTGAGCTGCCTTTGGGTACTAATATTGCACAGCAAGCTTTCTGCTATATGTCAAAGACTTTTGATTTCCACTCAAGGCGTTTTATTTCACTTTGATTTTTGGGAAACAAAAGTGAAGCTCCAATCGATCAGTGCTGATTGTGAAGGTCAGGAAAAATAAGATATTCTTTAAACTGACATCTGTTGCAAAAGCAAGCAAAATATTATCTGATGAAATACATAAAAATCACTGCATATAGTAAGAGGAATTTGCTCCGGTTATTAAGTGTTGTGAAACAGTTTTGAAACATCCTTCACTTCTATTCAAAACTTGTAGAAGTCAGCTATCAAATCCATCCTGCATCCACTTTCCTTCCCCCTGACTATACTGAGATTTGCACGTGGAAATCCTTGAAGTTTCATTGTCTGGAGGATGAATAGGGTGCAAAAAAAGCTATTAGAACAATGCATTTGGAGGCAAAAATTCTGCTCTGTGTGAGCGTGTAAGGCAAATACCAAGTAAACCAGCTTGAAGTATACAAAATCTCAGTCTGTGTAAATATGGTGTTGGGTAAAATCAGAAAGACCAAACTGTAAGTCCCTGCCCCTTGTACCAAATAAGCAACTTGCTTAGACTCCAATCTGTAATCAAAGACCTGGCACCAAAGTGTGCCCTGATCCATAAAGCCTCATTCCTGCTCCATCCACCACCTGAGCAAAGTGTGGCCCATTAGGGGAGGCAGCTCATACGCCTGATCTGGCAGCCGCTGCTCCTTCCTCCCAGGTTGGTTGTGTGCCTTCTGCTGCTGTAGTGGTGTCCCTGTAGCACTTTGCTGTCTGGCCCCATGTTCATATGCTCTACTTCTTCTCCAGGGCTCCTCACAGCAAACCTGCTGGGCTGCTCACTCAGAGGGTATTTTCCTAGTTTGGGTATCACAAACTAGGATCTGAATATCGCAAGCCGCGATATTCAGAGACAACTGTCAGTCAAACTTCCACGGGGTAAATGGGCAGTTTCACATCCTGATTTCTCAAGATTATGCCCATCTGACAGTACTCTCAGAGTAGAGTTTCTTATGTTAACTCTCATTTATAAATGTCACTGTATATTGCCTGAGAGACAGATACAACTTTTAAAACTTGCTGGTAAGGGAATTTGCACTGAAATAAATTTCATATGCATAAATATTTGTGTGTGTGTATATGTGTGTATATGTATGCTCATTTACTTTGTACACAGAAATTTGGTTCAAAATGCGCTAAAGCCTTACACTGGATGATTTTCTGTGTTTATTTCAGTAAGTATGATTCTTATAAAGGAGTAAGTGCCTTGTAAGCCTTATATATAACCATATAGATATAGTTTTAATATATAATACACTTGGTTTAGAAAAACTAAAACTTATTTGAGGAAAAACCTATAATCATTCTGTTTAAAAATCCAAATTGCAAATTTCCCCCTTTTTTTTTTAATATTATTACTGGGTTTATATACAGTAATACAGGCTTTATATATACAGGCTTGTTCCTCCAAGGTATGTCTTTCTTTTGTCTCATTTTGATTAAATAGGACAACTAGACTTTTTTTCAAATAAAATTTGTGGTGTCTAAGAAAAATAAATCTAACCTGTCCAGACAGTGAGCATTGTTATACAGTCATACAGCCTAGTCTGCTCGTCTCGGTGAACAAAATATCAGCATCTTTATATTGATACTGATATGGCATCCTAGATGCTCTTCGTAAATATCAGTGTGGAGTGAGTAGGGAAGTGACCCTTTCAGATAAAAATAGACTTTCAGATGTTAATGTTTTAAGGGAGAAGAAAAGGTGCACCAAAAAAAAGCAACCGCGAAACCCTCCAAAACCAAACTCAACCAAACAGTTTAGCTAAAATTCCATTTTCTGCCTGTCACAAGTGTCTCAATGGGAATGCTCCTGCCAGCTGTAACAGTTGCTGCAGATTTTACTATAAAGCAGCATGTTCCTAAGCTGAGGCTCTGCCTTGCCCCAGACACTGCTTCACACACAGTTTCAGTGCAGGGTCAGCATCCCTCCCTCCCCTCCTGGGGCAGGCCATGGCTCCGGAGGACATTCTTTATGGCTCCCCCTGCAAGCTCCCATCCGGCACACTCTCTGCGCAAATTATATTTCACATGCATGTCTTAATAACAGCACAGTATGGTCTAAGTTAAAAGCAGCCTTTTAGACCATGTATTCAGCCCTTTGATCTGGCTCAGTTTAGGCTCTTGACACTAACTTCGTTTAGTTTTCTGAGGCTTAACCGTTTGCTGTTCCCATCGTTGTTCATAACAGCATTGTTTGTAGGTCACTTGCAGTTTTAAGTGCTAATTGAAGGATCAGATTTCTTCATGTGTAATTATTTTGTGGTACTCGGCTTGCTTTAAAACTTCTCTCTTTTTAATATAAAAAGGCTTTTAGGCATAACTGTATGGAGAGATATATAAATAATATTAATTTCCCCATTTACTTCTCTAGCTGTTTTTGCAAGAATGAATGTGGATTAACAATGTTATCCTTTCCTAACAATTATCTTTCGCTACTCTAGCTAGTTTAGTTCTAAAAGACAGAGCCATTGACAAGGGAAAAAAGGGAACCTTCTCAGATTTTTCAGCTCAGCGGTGGTAATGTTGCACTGAACACTAATGAGGGAACCCCCACTGATTTGCCTGCTTTGTGACTTTTCTATTTCATAATTATTTTTAAAACGCAAAACGACATGAGGTAGCCTAGTCATGTCTCTACAACTTCCTGGTAGCTCAGTTCTTACTGCAGATGGCAATTTGTTCTTGTAACATATATGTCTCTCTGACCATTTTCATCTAATTTGTATGGGTTCTACCATTTCCTTTCTCTCTTTCAGGGACCTTGCTGTGTGTGAGCTAGGGGGTGGCATGACATGCTTGGCTGGGCTCATGGTAGGTCTTTTCTCAATTCCAATCCCATTCAGAGGAAGAAACAAAAGGAAAAATGTTCCAGTGCCTCCAACTGCTGGGTCAGAGAACTGTCAACAGCCTCAGCTGCGGTCAAGCTGCAGAGTCTTGAGAGACCTTCTAGATTGACTTGCTTTCGTATCATATTGATTTTATGGTTGCCTCGATGAGCAGAAACATTTTACCTCGGTGTAGTCAATATCTTTTGTTGTGACATTCCAGGCCACGTACTGTCTGTCTTTCATTGCCATAGCCGAAGCTTTTTTTTTTTTCAGATTATAGTCCCATTTGCTAAGATACAGGAATAGCCTGGCGAATCACAGTTGGAGCACCATGATATAGCTGCTAATGTTTTGCCTGCATTATTACACCAACAAACATGATCCAGAGCTCTCGGTAATTAGATTCTTTTGAATTAGATTGGCCATTCAGGAGAGTCGTTCACCATTCTCTGGGTTCTGAGTCATGTATTCAGGAGATATTATGTAGCAGTGCAGTGCATTAGACAAGTTTTTATGTCTCTACAAATAAAAGCATATTGTTACACTGATTGGCATTTGACAAACCTGTCGCTCTTATACAATGTGTCGAGGTTACAGCCCAATGTGCGAGCATGTCAAAGCTCACAAAAAAATTACCCTTACAAAGCCATCTGCCTGCAATGCAAAGTTATATGAAGGGCATCAGGCAGTCAGACAGAAGCAAGCTGAAAGGCAGAGTGACAGCCTTGTATGATGGCTCTACTAGATAAACAGAAGCCCGCAAATGAAAGCCTCTCAGAATACCATCATCGGCTGTCACAATGCAATTACGGAACAGAATGATAGCAAGATAGAGGCTCCAGCAAATGGAATGATAAAAGTATTGACTGATTTGATTGAATGATTAAAATAATGCAGACATAAAATGAAAAAAGATTGAAGATTGTTACAGAGAAATAGGTGAGGAAGCATGATACTGAAGGCTTGTCACTCCTGTCTTCACTTCCACACAGACAAGCATATTTGCTCATTGTTTGCTGTGCTCTTTTTTTCAGGTTGCTATTTCTGCAGATGTCAAAGAAGTTCTGTTAACTGATGGAAATGAAAAGGCCATCAAAAGTATCCTTATTCAGATAGAAAACTGGTTTGTTGTGCTCGTTCCTTTTTACTGGCTGAGTAACAATCGATATAAAGACAGACAGCATGGGGCATATTAAGAAAAAGTCCCCACATAAGTAATTAAAAAACAGATGTGGAATATCTTGAACAGAGCAGCAGCTTTCCCCATAATAAATGCCACATTTTCTCTGCTAATTAAAAATGCACATGTTGGTATAGAGCGTGTACAGTAGTAAATATTTGCCCCCCGGTTGAGTGCTGGAAGATTCATGTGTGTATGCTGCACATTACAGGAGGTGTACAGGGAATCAAATCATCAGCTCCCCTTCATGTATCCATTTTGCATAAGGGCTAGATTTTTATTCCTACTTTCAGATACTAGCCCCTTAAAACATGCTCCGCATTCATATATTTTCAGAGCTTTTCCAGTGTATGCTGAAATGTTTCATTGTTGCTGCTAAGTTGTAACTGCCTACAAATTGCCCATTTAGTCTGCTTAATCAATTACCAATTTATTATTATTTATCTTGATGTAAGATCGCAAAACTCCTCTGTCCCTTGTAGGAAGTATTTTATTGTATTTCTTATATTAGAATAAATTGCTATTATGCCCTTCTAATATGAACAGATAGTTCATAAAATTGAACTGGACTTGGGTTAAGCAAGAGAATGAGTGAGCATAATTTGTGGCCACATTAAATATCAGCACAGAACAAGAACAGACATATACAGTGAATACTAATAGCCCTTAGAAATTGAGAGGAAAAAAAGGAAGATATCTGTTTGCTTTTGTTCCTTGATAATCTTTCCATTTACATTTTCAGTCAGGCTAATTTTTCAGGTTTTGGCCACTGCAGTGTCAGAATTATTTCTTTTTGATATTTGTATGTATTTGAGAACTAATGTAGTGAGTACTTAGTAAAAAAATAACTTAGACTAATCTGTGGCTTAAATGAATTGCAGTTGCTGATGCCTGTTAAATCAGAAGACATTTCAGTGCAGTAATATTAGCTACTACCTTTAAAAAAAACTTTCTCAGAGGTAACTGAGGTAACTATAACTGCTGACAACGCTTGAACAATTTCATGTTAAAAACAGTTAATCCTAGATCATATCTGTTAAAACTTGAAGTAAGCCTGCTAAAAGTCTCTTTTTTCTTGAAAAGGCAAGTTCTCACCTGTTTTCCAGGGATTATTATTTTGTTAAATTCTAATGTGTTAGACTTGTGTATTAAGGAGGAAGTATTCATTATTCTGTGTATTTTAATCACCACCATCCTTCCAATCTTTCTTCCATGTCATTATGAAGATAAAAAATGTAGGAGAAAAGAAGTGTTTCAAAACTAGTCTAACAAAAGAAACTCATGTTGTATAGAAGCCTAGGTATTTAACAAAAGGTCATTTTACCCACCAAAAGCTTCAGGTGGGCTCAGTAATCATCAAGTCAGCAAATGTCTTGCATAGCAGATTCCATAAACATACCTGAACTTTTTTGAAATTTAGAAGTCTTTTATAACAAGGAAAATTGGCAAGTGCGAAAATATTCACTCAGTCCTTGGAATTAAACAAATAAAAGTGCTTTTATTCCTGAAAAAGATACTGTTAATATTATCTAATTATCACACCTTAGTTTTTCACAATATGTTTTAGAAATGTCTTCTGTTCCCAAAAGTCTCACAAGACGTCTTCATCTGTATTCACTCAGTGAATCCCTTTCAGGCAAGTGATTGGTGGACGGCTGTAACAGGAATTTATTTTTCTTTTTTAACATTTGGTGCTCAGAAGGCTCAGCATTCAAAGTGCTTTTATTGTGTTGGATTTTACAATGGGCTTAATATTAGCAGGGTGCCAAAGTGCAGCAGGCTAAGAACTTTACTGTGTAGGTGAAATGTATTCTTAAAAGTGCACATAATAAAATTTCTGTTGCATTTTATATGATTTATGGACTTCAGTAGTAATTTTATGATCTGTCTTACGGTAATTTTCTTTTGCACTCTTTTCTATGGTGACTGGCTGTAATAGAAGTTTAGGCTAAATTTAGATCTGTTTCAGCCTCACCAGACTCATTGAAATCAGGATAGAATTTTAGGTGTATTTGGAAGTAGCATTCACCCCGAGTGCCACTGGCTACAAATTATGTATTTTTGCTAGTTCTTATTATTGCTTATGGTATTTTTGATTGTTTAGCATACAAAATTAAAGTAATGTGGGATAAAATATTGTTTTCTTTTCTAGATTCTGCTCCTCAGGAATAGTTAATGTCTAGTATTATGGTTTTTATGTAGGTATTATAGATTAAAATAATCTTGTTTAAAAATTACTGTTTACATCTTCCCTTTAAATTTCTTAGGAAGCTTAAATTACATGCCAGTCATACTATAATATCCAAAAATTACTTTCCAAAAAGTAAAAGTGGTTGTCAACAAAAAAGAAAAAAATCCTTGTCAGAAGCCAGGAAATCACCAAGCAAGCCTGCTAATTATTCTTAATGGGCAAGATGAGCACATTAAGAAACAAATGAATACATCAGTGAAATGTAATTGAAAATCGACCTGGCAATAGTGCATTGCATCTGAGAATCTGCTTTGTATTATCAACATCATCATAATTATTGTTGTTTTTGTTGTTGCTATCACTATTCAGTGAGCATAACTAACAGCTTTGCTTTGTGAAATCTCAAGCTTTTGAGGATTTGATTTTTCTTTTGATTTTTGGCATGCTTCCTGTTAGTCTCCATTTATACTGCCACATGAAGTATTCACTATGTATGTTTTCAATATCCATATTAGGATACATTATTGAAATGATAGAAGTTTAAAAAATTTTTCAAATGAATCAATCAAATAATTGTTGCCATTCTAACCCTCTCATTGTGAAATATATTGCTATATTTTGTATTAGTCAATGATCTTATGTATGATGTTTATGGAGGATATTATGACTTGAGTTGCTAGACCATTTAAAAGACTTCACTCTAACTCCTTTTGCTTATCATGAGCAGGTTTCAATTGATTCAATAGATTGTTTATATTGCAAAATCAATAAAATAAAGACAGGTGTTACTCCTTTTGCCACCTTGTTCAGAACTTTATTGCTAATTTAGTGTGTTTTATCTAAGTTCTTTCAGTATCATTTAAATAAGGAAAGTATTGGGATTAAAACTATAGACAGTTCAAGTGAATAATAGAGATATACATGGGCAGAGTTATCAGATTCATCTCCCGTTGTAATTTTGGGTGATGTGCATTCAGATACAAATTTTTCAGCTTACATTGTATCTGTCACATAAGTGAGTCATGAACACCAAATTTTATTTTCTCAAAACACTGGAAGCATGTTTATGCACTTTAACATTTCCAAGTCCAAAGATGAGGTTCATTTTAGTAAACATTGTCTCCTATTTCAGAGAGGCTGGGTACTTTCTGCCTTAGATCTGTTTCACACCACGCACTGGTGACTTGAACTACTGTCTGAAAGCATCAATAGTACAAAGCATTGTTACAGTGCACTATAATGGCCATTAAAATACAGTGTATGGATCTTTCAACAGTCCAGGAAAATTTAGGTTAGAAGGGTCATGTTTAGCCTGAATGCCTGAAGATGTGGGCTCCTAAATTATTTTTTAAATCTAGTATTAACATGTTTATAACTATTATTAATAGTTTTGCTCAGTTATATAATTTAAGTGCAGTGTAGCTAATTTATCAACAATGTTATTTCTGCCCCTATTAAAAGTAGTATGATCTGCTCATGGAGTTATTTGTGCCTTCCTTTTGCTGCCGAGGTGTAGACCATTCATTTACTAGTCCTCATTGCATATTGTGGAAACGATTTAAAAGGCACATCCGGACTACAGAGATTTGTTTAAACCAGTTTTCTATCATTCCATTTCTAGTTTTACTTCACAAAATACCAGTTGTCTTTTCCAGTGTTTGGATAGAGACTTTCCTGAAATAACTTTTCTTAAATAACCAACTGTATTAGGAAGGCAAATTACGTGATTTCAGCAAAGCAAAGAAAAAGATATATCAAAGCAAAGAAAAAGGTGTATCAACAATATTTCAAATTAGCCTGACTCTTGTATTCAGCTTTTTTATAGGAGCACTTTTGAAAGGTCTGACATATTTTGTGGACCTAGAAACATCCTCCTAATTAGCATCAGATTTCCTATACCTTAAATAAAAAAGAGGGATCTTTTACATCTTTACCAAAAATGTCAATTTAAAATAATTATTTACATTTGAAAGTGACCTATTCAGGAATGCCTGGATTCACACTGGGTAACAATTAACATTCTCAGAGTTTTCACTTACTTGCAACACGTTTTCCTTCCCATGACTTCTCACTAATGTATGATTGGTCATGACAGTTATCTTTGTAGCCATAGATGATTGGGCCCAGCTTCCCCTGAAAGTTTTCCTTGACAGACTTTGCTTTAACCTGCCTGAATGGCTACCCAAATTTGTGACTTGAACTTCCAAACTACAAGAAGCTGAGACACCAGGCTGAGGTACTGTTGTGGTATCTAAGGCACTTATTGCTTTCCACTCTTTCAAGGTGGTTCTAAACCATTCTCAAGAAAGCAAATGGACTAGAAACTCCTTTACCTATAGGTTAAGGTGGTCCTGTTGTGTGTTGAATTCACCCAGACAGAGCCAAGAACATAGGTGTATCTCTTGTGGGTAGGTTCTTAAAACACATAAACCTCCAAAATCTCAGCATTAGGTATAGTGATAACAGTGAAAAGGGAAAAGCAGCACAAACTAGAGTGGACAATTAGTGGTTGTAAAAATTTCAGTTCTCCATGGTTGTGATTCTTATATTTGCAAACAGTTTACCTTTGCAAATAGTATGGGACATCTTTGTTCACTTCCTCTATAGCTACTGGGCTAGAAATTCTTTAAATGAAAGAGTAAATAGAAGTAGGAAACTAGAGCAAGTTGCTGCATAGATCTATGGCTGATGTGCTGGAGCAGCAATGTAAAAAGTATGCTTCTGAAAAAAGATTGACTCTTAGCACAGATTAAAGAGAAACAAACAGATAAGAACATTACGAAGGCATTATAAATGGAAAATAGTTTGGTTTATTATTTTTATTATTGCTCTAGTTGTTTTAATAATTCTTTTGTAGATAATTCTTTGTAGATAATTCTTAACAATTATACTACAGATGTAAATGAGATCATCACAAGAAACCAAAATGCTGGAGTATTTAAGGCTCAGAAGGTGTCAAGCTGGTAAGATTGTACTAAACTTTTTTACTGATTCTTGCATGTATTTCTGTATAATATAGATGTGAAATGTATGCAAAAGTGTGGAAGTGTGACCTGTGTTACTGATGCTCACGCAGGTGTGTATATGTAAATAGGTAAGTGATGCAAGAGAGAAATTTTAAACTATTTTTAAAAGATATCAAATACAGTATGATTAACCTTGTTGACAAACCCTCTCTTTTTATCTTTTTTTAATTTACGTTATGTCTCTTCAATCTATGATTTAGTGCATGGTTGAAATTTGTCTGCTTCAAAGTCAACACTACCCGTTGTACTGAAAATGAGATTTCGAATGAATGTATCTAAATCTCTGTCAGATTTCATTTTAAATAGCTCTGAAAATTTAGGGTGACAACAAATCCCATTTGCCCCTGAGGTAGATGTTGTTGGAACATCCATGGGAGGTTTTCTGGTCATCATGTCTGTGTGATCATTATTATGTTGTCACTGCGAAGACAGATGGGGAGATGGGAACGAAGAACAGGGTATTCATCTCTCACAGTATTTTAAATTATAAAGCACTTCATATTTGTGGTATAAGGTTAAGAATTAGAAAATGGTTGCCTAAGAGCAAATAGTACACTCTTATTTGTGTATTTAATTTTTTTTTGATGACTCACATTGCAGAGGAGCACTCAGTCCTTCTAAAACTGGGAAAAGTAAAGCTGAAAAAGGGCTGAGGAAGGCAAAGTGTTAATGCAGAATAAGCTTACTGACATAGAGAGTTAAACCCATATGGTTTTAATGGCTATCATTCATGTCATTTAATCCCATGCCTATGTAGCCATTCTATGTAGAGAAGTTAGTTTAAGTGAGCACTTAGGGCTAGAAAAATTCTGCCTTCATTAGGGTGTGTGTGCATATAAGTTAGAGATACATCTCTGCATCCTAATGAGAGCCTGCCAAGTAGGCAGAGGTCATGTGGATCCCAGGAATGGTCTTTCATGTTCCATGTGCTGAACACCTCTTGTGAGCAGCCTCAGACACTCTGCTGAGGAGAGTCTGTGTGGTATGTCCATCCAGAAGCTTAGATTTTTTTTAGATTTCCAATTGTTCTATACTTTGTGTGAGATTTCAGATTTCATCCCTTGTCAAGACTTCAAACCTGGTCTTTTAGATATCAATCAAAAGCACATTTTCTACCCTGTCCTCATTTACATTTATCTAATGCTTAAGGTCATTTGTGATCATTTGAGTGTATTTCAGCATATGGAATCAGTGAATAATAGATTTCAGCCTCACGCTGTGAAGAAAGATTGTGTTTTTACAAGACAGAATGTTGTTTACTGGGTGTTAATAATCACTAATTAATAAACAAATATAGATGTCATAAAATGTTGCACTTTAAGGAGTAAAAATATCAAGTGTTTAACTTCTTGAGTGCAGTAGTGTTTGAGGCCTTATTTGCATAAATAAAATAATTAAATGACAAAATAATGTGAAGTACTATATGAAAACATAAGACTCATAACACTTGATTTTTAATTCTACATTCTTAAGGCTTGTACAGATTTGTTGTAACAGTATAAAGTTTTCTAAAATGACTATTCAAATTACTCTCTAATGGATTGATCAGTCCTTCAGATTCAGGAATGACATGATGCAGTAACAAAGTGATATGATCCCTACTTAATGCCTTGAGGGAACTAGAAGGCTAATGTAAAGTCTGAAATACTACTGTAACCTTGATTCACTTTTCCTGCAGATGAAAACCTTAGTTACATAATGGTTGTGGGGAGGAAAAAAAAGGAGAGAAAAACCCACAAGAAAATGAAGAAAATGTAGTGTTTTGGATGGAAGAATGCAACACTGGCATGCAAAGTGACATTCAGCGACTTCTTTTACATTGATCAGATTTTGCAGGCAAATGAATATAGTGATGTCTGTAAGTGGCTTACTGAGCATCAATTTAATGTGGAGAAGGCATCTTCTTTCCTATAATCATTTAGACATCATCCAGTCTTGCAACTTTGCAGTGGCCAGTGCAAAGTTAAAAAATTCTTTACATGTAAAAGATTATTCAGAATAGACTCTTCTCACAGCACCTTCATCTTATGGCAGGATCTTGCACTCTTTTCCTGGCACAGGAGCAGAAATTACCAGTATGAGAGTCAGTTTGCGACTGTTCTGGATATTTAAGTCTATGCCTGGAAAGTATGCCAAAACCTGAATGGAGCAAAAAGGAACAGTCTGGTATCAGCCAAGAGAAGTTAGATTAGGACAACCCGCCATACTTTTATTTATTTAGATTTATACAAAAATGCCATAAATGAGCACTTATCTAGCCCTCTGCCGAGTCTTGATTATTGTTTAAAAATATGGTAATGTAAGCCAAACTGGCAGTTCGTCATATTGTGTGTTATAATGTAATAATAGTAAACAGTTTACTTAGCAGTGGATATACAATTTTATTTTATTTTTATTTTTCATGAATATGCCCAGGACTTCTTGTTTATGTTTACTAGAAAGAGGTACAGTAATACCACCAAGTTAGTAGTAATGTCTTGCCATAGTGAAGGGTATTAATACCATGTATGTGTTCAACAATTTTATTTTTTTTACAGTTCAGAAATTATCCATGAATTGCATTGTTTACCCTATAACTTAGTGTATGTTTCTTTGTACCATCATAACATATCCACCAATCATTAAATTAACAAGTCAAGAAATCCCCGCTCCTTGTTTTCTATTTATTTTAATGTGGAAGTCTTCCTGAAACAGCTGTTAGAGTAGTAGAAGTTTGAAAAGTTGTTGTTACAAATGTCATAATGGAAAAACTTTACCAAAGAGGAAGGCTTGCAATGTATTCTGCAGGTTAACAGACTCAGTCTGTCCTACCAAGTGGGGAATTTGTTCGTCCTTCAGATTGCCTTGTCTGAGAACATGGAAATCTGTAAAGAACAAAAGTTGTGTTCTAATTGCTGATATGGGACCTGTGGAGTTTTAGCTGTGGAGAAGTCTATTGTTCTGCCAAGAGTTGCCTCAGAGAGATTCCCTTTCATGTGGGGATGTAAACAAGGACATGTAACATCAAGCCAATAACAGAAATGCTTGTGGCAGTGCACCCTTTGGTTTGATTAGTAATAGTGTATCATATACTCTTTATTCATTCCGCAATCATCTTTAGAACCCACATCAAGAATTAATGACCATGTAACCAAAAGAGACAATTTCTTCTGCTTAAAGACTAACAGATGGGTTATAATTTTATTTGAGATTTTAGTGTTCCTTACCAATGTAGTGCAATTAAAAGTTTCCAGAACTAAATCCATAATGAAAAAACACTTTCAAAATACCAAATGGCATCCAGCATAACAGTGGATGAGGTCTCAATGACAGAGCACTGAAATGTATTGTCCTGATTGTGTTCTTGTATCACTTTCCTCTTTATAATTGCAAAGGTGAATATTTTACCTTACTGCAATGTTCTTGAAATATATCAACTTCATAACCTTCCTGATTTCAACTGGTCTTGTAACAGGTTCCATCAATGTGGGACAGACTTTCTCTCTGTTTTCATTCATCAAAATGACCTGAGTGTTGGTAAATTCAAACTTTTTGAAAACATTTTATTGAATTCACTGTGTTTGTCACCTTAGCAACCCTAAAGGAATCTCTTTCTTCCAACTACTTTTCCAGTCTCCTCAAGTAACACTCTTGCATGATACCATCTGTAGGTAAGGAGGAAGCTGCCAAAAGGAACATTTCCTGCTCTCTGGTTAGGAAGAAAAAGTTGCTGCTTCCTCCTCACTTAATTTGATCACTTCATGTATATGTGGAAAGAACGGTCTGTGTGCTCATGTCCATTCTGAAGTTGTCACTCTTTATCACAGAAAACTCAACTCAGGTGGAAAGCATTCCACACCTCTGGTCATACTTGCCCTGCTCTATATCTTCTTCTGTTTCAACCTACTTATTTTTAGATTACTGTGATCAGTACTGATCACAGTACTGATCACAGTACAAAGTGTGCATAAATAGGTATATGTAGTGGAATAATTACTCTTTTTGTTCCCCTTCTAAAAATGCTTAACAGTGATTGGTTTTTTTCGCTGCAGTTGAGCACAGAGATAATAGTTTCATGACACTGTCTGTCACAACATCAGGAGCTTTCCAGTGATGGTCATTTTAGAGACCTTCATTTTCTATATCAAGTGATAATTATTTTTTCAGTTGTACATTTTGCACACTGAATTTAATTTGTAATTTTATTGTCCAATTAATCATCCTTCTTTTTCATTTTCCTCCTTTCATCCTTCTGCAATCTTTCACAGTCTATTATTTTCCTTACTATCTTGAATGACTTCTTAACATCAGCAAGCTTTGCCACGTCAATGCTCATCTCTTGTAAACATGTTGACTAGAACAGGTCCCAGGGGTACTCCGCTGATTATGTCCCTCCTCTGTGAGAATTGACCATTTGCTACTACCCTGTTCCCTGTCTTTTGTTCTATTATTTAGTGTCATGTCAGGACTCTTCTTCAGTGACAGTCTGTTTTCGTAGAATGTTGGTAGTGAGGGTCTTTGCCAATAGCTTTTTGGAATCAGAGGCAGGCTGTCTTACCCAGATCTCCCTTATCTGAATACTTGTTAACGCCTTTGAAGGGCTCAAGGTTTGTAAAACAGGACTTCCTCTTACAGAAGACATATCTAAAAAGGCTTCTGTACTGAAATGTCTTCAGTTTCTTTCACAGTGAAGTGAATGTTTTGCACTGTTGCATAGAATTAATTTCACCTCTCTGAAATGTTCATATCCTCTGTGAGTGCCCATTCTGTATCCCAGTTATCAGCTGGCAGGAAGATTTAGCACAAAAGGAAGAGTTCACTTATTTTTGACCAGCCTGATTTTATTATTATATTTAGTTTTGCAAATTTGTAATTCTTTCTTCAGTTGGGTGCAACTTCAGCTTTTAGAGGAATACTTGAACATTCTCTTATACCCTTTAACCATACCAGCTGACTTT